ATATTTCCCTTTATATTGTCACTGAATATTTAGTTTAAATACTCTGTTGTTAGTTTATCAACAAAAATATTTGGCTATGTCATTCCACTTACCATTCTTGTAGATTGTCACTTGTAAAAGTTTACTACATTTTGAATTCCACAGATTTGGTTAATAAATGATTTTTAACATTTGAAATACTTGTCTTCTCTGCTGTGACAATATACCACACACTTTTGTTTTCTTCTTGGTGACAGTTCAAGTAATTAACTATGAATGCATAAGTTAATTAAGCATGCATTTTAAGGCATCATTTAATTTTATAAGATTGTTGAGTTCTAAAAATGAAGTGTTCATTTAAAAAGTGCATATACACATTTAAATATATAACAAGAACAAATGAGTCAATTATAGATGGTGTTTTTCTGTAACAGTAATAGAAAAAAGTGCTCAAACATCTTCAAACAAAAGTATTTCTTAAAATCTAAAAAATCCTGTATTTTTTAATTGTCACAAATATTTGAGGTTACCCCAGCTTGGCTAGTTGGTGAACTAGGTGGAATTCTTGTCAATCTGGGACTGGTTGCTACTACTTTAAAAATTTTCTTTAGAGTTGGAAAAATACCTATCTTGAATTAAAAAAAAAAAAAAAAAGATGTGAACAGCCAAACAAATAAACATACATTTAAACTCTATTGCCATCTCAAAATTTTACTTCAGTTATCCCATGGTTAAAACAATGGGACCTTAGAATAATGTTGCTACTTAATAATAAATGCTGCTTAATAAAGTTGGTCCTATAACACAGGTATATATATATGGTTGACAGGGGATTTATCTGAACTTCTTGATAAACCACCAGGTGGCCATCTGAGATAGGCTATCACAACAAGGGCATCTGAGACAAAGTGCACATAGGAAGGAGATTTGCCCTTCCAGGCAGAAGGAATCCACAAGTGTGATGCCTGTGTCAAGTTGTACCATATGGTACTGAGAGAGATCTATTGTATATAGATCAATCCCTCTTCCTTTGTATATATTTCAATTTTGAAAACTTTTTTCTTCATATACTTTGGATTGGTTTTCTGCATTATTATTTTTAATAGCTTTTATAATTCATCTTGAATATCAATTTAAGGTATTATAAATACAAGGTAATAAGACCAAATCCATATAAATTAATAGTGTGTGACATTTCTGTAACAACGCTTTTACCGAAACTTCACACACTATTAATTTATTTTGATTTGGTCTTATCATCTTGTAGTTCTAATCTCTAATCCAAATTGTACCCTTTCCATTAAAGTTATTTTTAACTAGTTTTATTCAAATATCAATAAAAAAGATGACAATATGCACAATTTAAGAAATTCTGAAAACTCTCAACACAATGGCATGACCCTGTGGATTCCCTAATGTAAGAGACTTACAAGTGTAAATCTGACAAAATTAGAAGAAAAACACACACTAAAGGATACATTGATCTTGTGGCAAGATAATTTCCCCTTGTCATCAAGGCCAATCAAGATTCTGTGCTTGATAAGGTGAGCATTCACTCCTGCTATGCATTGTTCTAGTTGCCGGTAGAGCTGCAACAATAAGTTTAACATATGGTCAAAAATATTATTGACATATTGAAGAAAGTAATTCATACATTATGAATTCAGCATTCAAACAAGAGCACCGATGAGTAACAACATTGTTACCAAACTGTCACTTAAGGGTGCTCATTCAGTCTAACAGGTGTCTTTTTTAAATAGTTATAAAACGAAGAGAAAATTTTTTTTAATACACATGGGCTACAAGCTTTCGGGCTTCACGCCCTTCGACGGGTACCATAGAATAGGTGTCTTTTTTATATCTATAATTCCAATTGTATTTTACCATCCTTATATGGTGATTAAGAATTCAAGTGAGAGAATAATATTTGCCATACACACCGGGGTGACTAACAGAACCTGTAATGCAGGCATGGGTCCTTACCAACAGAAGAAGCAGCTACAATCAGGAAATATACCATTACGGGGGATCTATTCACAACTATTCTTTACGTCGACACTTGACTTCTCCCTAGCTGGATACTCATTATTCTGATACATCAAGAAAATTTCTGTTTGTTCAATTTGAACATGAATATCCTTCTTCTTAAAATCTCAATAATTTTTATCGCACATTTATTTAAAGGCCAAACACATTTAAAACCAAGGTTTTCTAGTCTTGAAGTCCCTTTGATACAGTAGAACCTCCCTAAAAAGAGCATCTAGTTGTAAGGCCAAAGTGTCTTTTCATGCAAAGGTTCTATTAGTCAAATGCTCAGAATAACTAGGGACCAAGATTTTATATTGTTATAACCATGTGTTTAGAATAATGGGAACATTAGGATGTTCTAACCACCAAGTTGGTGCTATAACAAAGGCTGTTTCAATGAGGTTCCAGTGTAGCATTGTTTTTACGATACCTTCACTTTAATCCACATGCAGGCAAAGATGCCCACAGCGTTGAGGATGAGCCACACGATGCCACCACCAAACAGCGCCAGCCCCTTGGCTCCAGAGAAGAGAAGAAAGAGCAAAATGAAGAAGCCAATCAAAATCCAGAAAAGTAAAACACGCTTGTAGAGAACAATGTAGATGTTGAAGCGCACGTCGTTGACCAACATTTGCATTGCCATCACATAGTCCTCCACAGTGAGCTGGACACAAATATACAAGTTAGCCACAATGTACTACAAGGACATGTAGAATATAATGGGATCTTCCCTTAGTGTGATATACCATTCCTGATATTACACCTCAACTTTGCATCTGGGAGATTAACTCCGCCTTTGCCGGTCCCAAACTCGGATGAAAAAGGAGGAGGGGGAGCAGTAACAAGCTCGCTAAAAAACCTGGGCTCAGCTGGCCCAGATGATAGTACCCTGTAAGGGCTCCTGATCCAGGGATACAGGATGAGCAGCGCTTGTACTTCATATTAGGAGCGGCTGCACATGGTGTCTGTACCTCATGTTAGAGGTGGCCATTTCATATTGGAGCTAAGTCGGCCTTCTACTAAGTAGTGCTTCCAGTCTTAATGACAAAAGCAGATGCATTCCACTTCACCCAATCTCATTATGAATGTTGAATCTCATTTGATGAGCTCTACTCATCCCCAGCAGACACCATCTCAAGCTATACAGGCTTGATACCCTAATATGAATGTGTGGAGATAAGAAAGAAGAAGATTAGGGAGATTGCTGAAGGAAGGGCTCAACAAACTTTCAATTATGAAAAATATAAACCATTGTTGACTCATATGATTCTTTTTGAAATAAAACAATTTTCTACTGTCCTTGCTGCAATGATAAATTAATGCTTGGCTCATCAGTGGTGAACCCTCTATGGTTTCACCAGTTTAATCTACCATACTGCTGTAATATGGCATTGGGCTATTTTTCTTTTATACTGATGCTGACTTCATGGAAAATGTATTTTAAATGAACTATGGACATAAGGAAAGTAGAAATACATATAATCATAAATATATAATATGCTTCGGGCATTGGCCTCAACCACAAACTTTTAATTATATACATTTTAATGGGAAATTTGCTCTTTTTTTTTAATATAGATTTTTAATTAAGAGAATATTTCATTATTTCAAATAGATTTTAATATTATCTATCAATTATTTTCTTTCATAAATTATATTTAATGATAAACATTTGATAAAAGTTTGCTAAGGCTTTACTAAAGCCCTATTGTTTTAAAAACAACATTTTTTGCTGCTGAAGTATTTTCAGGTGTTCAATGTGCAAGCTTCAATTAAGAGGTTCTGGTTGTTGAAATCCACACTAACTCCTTAAATGTAAATGGACAAAAGGTACGGTATAATCTATATTAATAAAATGGAAATTTCATAAGTGTTGTTCACTAAAAACTTTCGTTACAATGCATCAATTTCGACCAAATTTTCAACATTTATGTAAAACGAGATGGAGCAGGTTTTGCTTAACATCAAAATATTTTTCCCTAACATTAACATGCGTAACTTCGCTGTTATCGATTAAATACAAAAAAAAAAAAATCAACAGAGTTAATTTTATTTATATATAAATACAAAATTAAATTTCAACAGAGTTAATTTTTTTACATACTAGCTAATAATCTCAATCTAAAAAATATTCAAAACAAGCAATTTTAAGATAACACCATATGTAAAACAGTCGGCCAAAAAAACAAATAACGTGTAATATATATATAAAATATATTATATATAATATAACGGTATAATAACGGTATAAATAAATAATGAGCCTATCGTTCAAATTTATAATTGTAACGAATAGTATTTTAATTAAAACATTTTAAAAACACACAGTTTGGAACGGGACGTTTCACAAGAGTGACATCCATGGCGCCAATTTATAATTGTAACGAATAGTATTTGAATTAAAACGTTTTTAAAATATATACGCATTCGGGTAAAACCCGGGCGTTGCCCGGGCCATTCGAATTATATAAATATATAATAAAAAAATATAATGTAAGGAATATTATTATCATTATTATCATAATAGTCTATGTTCCGGAAAATTATTTTCAATAATATTCGTTAGGCAAACTTTCACTCAGATAAAACCCGGACGAAGCCGGGTACACATCCGCTAGTTATATAATAATTAAGAAAAAGTTATAAATTCAAATTTAAAAAAAGACCGTTAAAATTTTGAGTAAAAGAAATGCATAATTTAATTTTTATAAGGTACAATTTGGACTATAAATTAGAAAAAAAAAAAGTAACAAGACCGATAAATTTGGTCTTGTTACCTTTATTTTATTGGACTATTTAGAGGCTAAAAGTTGGACTCAACTTGAAGGAAACTAACAACAACAAACCTTTTGCTTATAATTTGATTTCAATATTTTGATGAGTGCCACACCCAACTTTATCAAGATAAATAATTCATCCAGAAGGTGGAATCGAACCACTCTGCTTTTAAATGGCTACAGGTTTGAAGCCTGCACCTCAAACCTCCGAAGTTCATCTTCAGAGGTCCGGGGCAGGCTTCAAACCTGTAGCCGTTTAAAAGTGAAGTGGTTCGATTCCACTTTCTGGGCAAAATATTAATCAGATAAATGATGATAAAGGTGAACATGCTGCTCAATGAAAATATTGAAATTAAATTATGTTCCTATAGATACAAGATGCACCCTTTTACCATATAGATTATGATATTTTTAAATACAGTAAAACCCCGCTAATACGAACCCTGGATATAACGAACCTTCCCTTATAACGAACCCACGCCAATTCCCAATTCCATTCCATTGAAAATACCATCGTTATAACGAACTTTGCGATTTTTAGAATAACAAACTACCCCTATAACGAACCTATTTTCGGTCCCAAAATAATAAAATCTATTTAAAATACTATGCTTATAACGAACTTAGAATTGTAATTAAAAAAAAAAATTAAAACAACCAAATTTTGAGCATGTTTCAGCTCGCGGATCGCGATTTCAAAACAATAAATTTAGCGGCATTGTTTGTTTTGAATTTTGCACTTTATTTTTGCTGTATGTTGTATAAATATTAACACATTATACTTTTTATTAAATAGAATATATTTGCATCCATTAAATTTGAAATATAAAAATACAAATGGCTTCCAAAATGAAGAAAACAAAGGCATTTCAAAAACAAAAGCGTTATTTCTTTAAAAAAAAAAAAGGCCATTTTCAGAACTTTTCAAAGTGAAACAACACAGGCAAAATGTTAAGAACATATTAAAATAAGAGAATATATATATTTTTATTATAAAAGATAAAATATAAAGCTATTAAAAATTGTTACAAAGAGGAATCAACCTCAACTTTTGCCGCGATCGCGATCGTACGTTTTAGGGAAAAAAAAAATCCAAATAAATGGTCCCGTGATGAAACAAAAACTATTTTTATGCCATTAACTTTGGTGATTTTAAAGTCATGTTTTGCATGACAGGTTAAAAAAAACGAAATCTAGACCTAGAAGAATATGTGGGAAAATGAAATGGAAGAAAAACACTAACTTTATTTGAATGGTGCAATGCTTGAAGAATGCTTTGAAGCAACAAGGTGTTAGAGCCATTTTTCCAAGTAAACAATGTATTATATAATGTGATAATGATGTTTTAAAATCATTTTATATCTTTGAATATATATTTAATAAAACTTTGCCTAGGATTTGTCTTGATTTTTAAATTAGACATAGAGGTACATGTATGTTAATGATAAGAAGAACCTATCATCTAATGATTTCTATTATTATTCAGTATTAATGTAAGGAAATTGGTCAATTAAGGGAATTAAAACAAAGTGACCACTATTAAGAGGAAGCCTCTTCCAGTGTGTATGGCTGTCCTTTAATTATACGGTCTAAAAATTTTGAAAAGTAAAAAAAAATAGCCAAACCGTGGCTATAGTGAACCGTGGCTATAGTGAACCAAAGCTCTGTCCCATTGGGGTTCACTATAGAGGGGTTTTACTGTACTTGAATGTTATTAAAAACCAAATATAAATAGGTTTATAAATAATAAAAAAAAAAAAGTTGAATTTTTTAAAAATCAAATAAAAACAGTTGAATTTTTTAGATGGTAACTTACTCTCTATCCATATCAAATAATATTAGTAGTTTTTCTCAAATTCCATGAAGTGCCATGTCTGGCATGTTTATTTACTACAACTTCATTTAGTTAAGAAAAAAGACATTTCCTGATTGTGTAACTGAAAGTTGCATAACATCAGCAACTTTCAGTTGCACGATCAGGAAATGTATTTTTTCTTAATTTATCTACTTGATCCAAGTACAAATTCACTTTTGTATCATTTAGTTAGCCAATCCTTTTTCTAAAAATAACCTTTCTCTAAAGGATCCCTAGTTGAAAGGCCAAAGTTTCCTTTAGAGAAAGGTATCCTCTTGCTGAAGAGCTGCTACATAATAAAAATAATAATTCTGGCGATGAAAAACTGTCCTTTATAGAAAGGAATCATCTAACAAAGGTGGCTTCTCATGGAAGTTCAACTGGATCAAATATTTATGTGCAAATAATTAACCATTGTATTTCTTTTCTAATTAGCTAGTTTTGTTACTACACAATATGAGCAAATCCAAATAAATGAATAGTGTGTGAGGTTTCGGTGACAGTGTTTTCTTCTTATCTGCCATCTTGCTTACACACTTGATAACTTTAACTATTTAAAAGCATGCTGTGATATTTTTCTCATTCAGTCTTTTGTCTGATGATGGTAACAACACTGTTACTGAAATGTCACACACTATCTATTTATTTATTTAGATTATATCTTATTATCTTGTAGTTCTAATCAATAATCTAAATTGTGCCTTATTGAGCTATTATTGTGTTTTCAGCCATGCTAGAAGTGTAGGCCTAAAGTTGACCACTGTTACATACTGTTACATCCCAAAACCTGAACCATGAACCAAAATCCTGGAGCTATTCTGGAATGTGGGATGAACCAATAAGCAGCAACCTATATTTCCAGGCTCAAAACTGGCCATACAAGACTGCTACTCTTCCAGGATGGTCTAAAGACAATGCTACATCTGCAGGACCAAAGAGGCCTCACCAGACTATCTATTGGAATGCATGGGAGCCTCAAGACAGGACCTGTATTCCAACCCTACCAAGATTGTGAATTTGATCTATGAATATAGTCTCCATGACCTTGTATAATTTTACAATGGGATAATAAAAAAAAAAACATACTGTGAGGCCTGGAGCCATGAGCTCCTCCGGCACCAGCTCCGGCTTGAAAATGGCTCTGGTGACCCAGGGACATCTGGTGTTGAGAGGGAGCAGGGTAACCAGGATGTCTCCGTTGGCTGCACACAAGAATTGAGGTAAGCAGCAGCGACATATTTACAGTAGGTGAGACTTTGAGAGGAAGATGAGGGACAAAGATATCCCAATTGGCTGCACATCCCCAAATATACAGTGGAACCTTGTTAAAACAACTTCCACTATATGATAAGGCACAATTTTGGATTATAGATTATAAACACAAGGTAATAAGACCAAATCCAAATAAATAAATAGTGTGTGACGTTTCGGAAACAGAATTGTTACCATCTTCATCTAGGATTCAATACTTTTGTCTGAAGATGGTAACAATGCTATTAGTGAAACGTTACACACTATTTATTTATTTGGATTAGGTCTTATTACCTTGTGTTCAACTTCCACTATAATAGTTGGGAACTTTAATTATCTGCAAAATTTCCCTTTATAACAGAATGTGGTTATAAAACTTTGAGGAAACTTTCCTTTACATTCTTGCACCCAGTTTTATTCTGTGTTGATTAGCAAATTGCAATAGGAAATTACTCATGGCTGGTTACAAGTCATTCAGGATAAACCAAAGACTCATCAAATTTTTACCTAAAAATACATACAGTTCTCCTGCAAGGTAAATTATTGTAAAGTTTTCTGCTCAAATTTTTCCAATTCGTAATGTGTTCCTGTGTGCATGAGGGTTTATGGGCTTATAGGGCTTATTGATTTTTCTTCTCATCTTTATTAGGAGATGTTGGTTGACTTATAAAGACCTGTGTGCCATGTTGCTTTGAAGAGTGATGTTTCTTCAGTGACATATTCTATTACTTTTGTTTCAAATGTGTGAGTCATCTGAATATGATCAGTCCAAATGTTCACTTCTTTAAAGTCTTTAAACACAGTCCTTTATATAGCAATCATATTGTTGGAATTGATTATGTTGTTAATTATAAGCCTTTTTCATTAAAAAAAAAAAGATTGTTCTAAACAATTTTTTATTGTTTTAGAATATGTGAAACTTCCTTTGAAAAGATACACATATATAATGCCGCTTTCAATAATTATTTTAGACAGAATTGATAAAAGGATTAATAAAGATTAATGTCTACAAGTTGTAGAAAACGGAGAATAATGATGTTGGCATACCAGTGTTTTAACCTTGTTCAAATAGGACTTGAACCCACTTTGTATTTGTTAGTTGAAAAAGGCAAAGGAACATCTCAATAAGAACCTATAAAGAAATGCCAATAAAAGAAAGTCCTCAGGCTTCAATATCATCATCATTGTTTCTGAGGAGAGTATCTTATAATCAACTTTATAAGCACATTTCCTTGCTTTGGCTTAAATTTTTGTTACATCACAAACATTAAGAAAAATCTTCCCCCTTTTACAAAAGTCTGAAACATCGTTAACAATATATTCCTTAATCCAATTTATATAGTGTTGCAATGTTACTTTTTTTTTTTTAACATTGAAATGTTTTAAAATGATTTCAAGTCTATAAGCTGAGAGTATCAAGTATATAACAGGGTGATAAGGCACAATTTGAATTATAGATTATAAAGTAATAAGACCAAATCCAAATAAATAAATAGTATATGACATTTCGGTAACAGTATTGTTACCATCTTCTTGTCTGAAGATGGTAACAACGCTGTTCCCGAAACATCACACACTATTTATTTATTTGGATTTGGTCTTATTACCTTGTTTTTATATAACAGGGTGTTCCATTTAAACATGACACTAAATGACCCAACTAAAACAAACCTAAGATATAACGAACCTTCCCTTTATAACAAACCTAAGGTAATTCCCAATTCCATTCAATTTAAAATACCATTGTTATCATGAACTTTGAGATTTAAATATACATTATACAGTATAACCTCATTAATTCGACACACGCAAATTCGACACTCTACCTTAATTCGACCATATTCTGATGTCCCGACCTCTGGCCTATCAAATAACAAACCGTAATTCGACAGTATCGATAATACGACAGTTCCGGTAGTTCGACCATTTTAAAATTCGAATTTCGACAGATGAATGTTTTTTTACATACAACTTTGCCGCTAAAAAGATATTACGGCGGCGACGATCGGCGGGCGACGATAGTATCGTGTCGCGCACTTTGGTTTCAGTTTAAGTTTCACTTTGCAGTGCCGTTGCGCAATGTCGCGAGTGTTATTGTTTTGTTTGTTTTTTTTACGCGGGAATTTAGGCTTTGTGCGCAAATTAATATTATTTTCTTTACAATTTTCCGCATTGA